CCTAGACAAGTCTTAGTCATTTTTTCATTAGCCATTCTAAAGTATTATAATGGTATTTAGTAAAGATCTGTTTATACATACGAGTTTTAATATTTAGCCTTCCAAAGACAATCCTGAATAGACAATGCCACAAGAACACAGTAGCAAAGTCACCAATATGTCTAAGTATAAGAATTTCCACAAACCTGACAGCTCAACTCTATAATGGAAAAGAATTCCCAAGAAAAGCTTTTTTTTCTGAGAAGTTTATAAACTGATAAACATCCATTACAAAGAATTCTGAAGATATGCCACACATAAAGGGCAATACAGAACAAATGCCTTAAGCACAATGCATAAACCAGTGTATACTAGATGATTAACTGTTGTCCTCAAAGTGGAGAGAGCACATGTATATGTGCAAGAGCGAGTGTTTTTATACACTGCATGCATAAATGCCTCCACTCAAAAAATATTGTAATTGAAATAATTCTCAGACACTCTGGATATTTATAGTAAAGATATGCAAAATAATCCTTTAGGCACGTATGACTGCCTACACCATCCATTCTTTGTTATGGGGATCACATCTAGGAGCTCAATATGTTAGAAATGGAGAATGTTATAGAAAGAAATAAAATTAAATTTAATTCTTCACAGTAAACGTCTTGTTACTGACAATTCATAATGAACAATTACTAGATTTGCTTAGCAGGAAGAGGTAGTTTTGGTTATCCAAATTGTACTTCCAAAATCAATCAAAAAATAAAACCCATGATTGTTTGTCGCTATTCTACACCAAAACCCAACCTATGGGCTGGTGAAGAGGATTACACTTTGTTTTTTGATCTTTTTAAAACAGATTTCACTCAATAAACTGCTTATAAGTTTTTATAATCATATTATACTGGAGGCTGTTCACTGTTAGGAAAATTTCTTTGGATAAGAAGGAAGAGAAACTAAAAACAGGTCCACAGGGATTTCCTGAAGAAAAATAAACAACATCACAATAGATTCTAAACTCCAAGACATGTGAACAAAAATTTGTCTACCACTGTACAAAAAAAGGAAAATTTCTCTAAAAGCATCAGCAAAGGTGGTCTTAAGCAAACTATACTCAGACAAAACCACAATGTACAAACCTGCTATTAATTTCTGATGCAGCAGCCAGTTTCTATTAAATCTGAAATGGACACAATCTCAAATAACTGCGGCATCTGCACTTTGGCTAGCCCATATTGGTTCTGTTGCTTCCTCCTCACTCAAATGTATGCTAAACTTAGAAGAAATTGTGTGATAAATAAGGTAGCTAAGAAGGAATTCCCTGTTATGTGGGAGAACTTCAGCAACGCAGGACTGTTAAATACATATGGCAACAGGACTGGGGATAGTATCTGCTAATGCAAGACATTACACACAGTGTAGGAAGGTGAGGAACAGGGTGAAACCTTGGGTGAGAAACATAGTTTGTGAATAGATTTGTAAATTTGAAGCCATGTGTAACTTTGAAACCTATTTAAGGAATATACTAGTATCATGTACTCACCACGACATGCACTTGTCCACATTTTAACAATAACCAGAGAGTTACTGGCCCCACTCATGTGAGTATGCCACTATGTTTGAAAGGCACCCAACTTGCTGGTCTACCCTTGTGAACAGCTTTAAGGTATAACTGAAAAAATACTAAACTCCACAGGATACAAAGTATTCTTACACAATCAGAAGACAGATTATTAGTTAATAAAATACATTCATATAATATCAGGCACAGTCAGAAGCAAATAAAATATATTTCTGCAGAGATTAGCATAGATGTTTCAACAGATTAGGAAATTTCAATGGATTAGGAAGTTTCAGTGACAGAAGGTATATTTAATATATAAAATCCATATAATGAGAAGCAGTGGAAAAAAACAGGACAACTGTCACAGGTCCAAGAAATATCTTTGTAAAAAAGCTGTCAAATATAAACACTTCTCAGCAACAAAACACTCTGCAATTGAAGGTGGCAAATTTAATTCAGAATTTACAATGTACCTCATAATGGATTTTATAATTACAAATATCCCTGAACAACTGGATCTCTCCAAATTGAAACAACACTTACCTTCTCTTGTTAAGTAACTCCTGCCTGGCACTTATGATTAGTTGGACCTAAAGATTGTTGCTGTTTTATTCTAGTAGAAGGACAGTAGAGGAGTAAAACCAATGCGTATAAATAGACCCAGAGGCAAACACCTGAGAAGGGTAAGAACTAATTAAGCTCAAGGATGACGCTAGCATAAGAAAAAATGGTAATAAATTGGCCATGAAGAAATTCAGGTTGAAAATGGAACCATCTGATGTTTTCAGATGAATATTCACAAATTCATGTTCAGGATAACATGGCTGTTTGCAATAACAAGGGCTTGAGCTCAAGTGACCCAGGATGCACCCCAATTCCAGTCATACATCCTAAAAACACAATAAATTTTAACAGTCTTGCAAAATAACTACATACTAAATCCTGTAATAAATCTGCTTGCTGAAAAAATATTATTATAGGCTATAAATAATAATTGAAAATTACCTACAAACTCAGATGTGAATGAATTTCTAAACATTTAAAACCGGATTTGCACAACTCCAAAAAACCATAGTTCCTCATTCAAGCTATCAAGACTATGAAGGTTCCTTTCCAGCAACAGGCAGGACTATGATACATCTGCCTAAACCCCATCACAGCAACAAACTCTGAAGAACCCTTCACTTGCTACCAATATTCCTTATTCTTGTTCCTTCCCCCCAAAAATGAGGAGAGAAATGCAGACATGGCATCACTTACCACCACAGAAAATAAATAGCAATCTTCTGATTTTTCATGCCTTCTGCTTTTGTTTTTACTCTCCTTGCCACAAAAGCTCAAGAAAAATAATACAGAAGAATAAACAACGCACATAGGGGATATACCAATCAGTCAACAGCCTGGCCCATTCATTGGCCTCTTTCACAGACACTGGTAAGTTTTATACAAGAACCTACTGAAAACACACACAAATTTAGCAAGTACATTTAGAATATTCAATGTTTTGTTTCATGGGGTGCTTTTTTTCCCAGCTGTGAAACTAGCAAACTCTGCATTAGGGAAGTTCACACTAGGTAGGTAAGCCACTTCATCCTTGGAATAGACTGATTTGTACTTCTTAAGAAATCATTAAAAAACTGTTCTATTGCCAATTGATCCTCCAGCAGACCCAAGTTTTAGCCTCAGATTTTACTAATTCTAATTAATATATTTTTAGTCATTAAATACAGTGGCATTTTGAGTGCCTCTTGTAATACTCATGTTCAACAGTGTCTTAGTTTGGGCTGAAATAGAGTTAATATTCCTTTTCAGGGACTAGATGAGTGCTGTGTTTTGGATTTAGCTTTGGGTTTGGCATGAGAAGAATGCTGATAGCACACTGATGTTTTCAGCTGCTACCGGGACTTCAAGGACTCTCCGACTCCCCATGTCCTGCCCGTGTGCAAGGGCACAGGGAAGGAGCACGGCCAGAGCACCTGACCCTAACTGGCCAGTGAAATATTCCATATCATGGAACGTCATGCTCACTGTATAGAGGAGGGGTGGTTGGGAAGGGGCTCCCTCTCTCTCTCTCTCGCTTCCGGGATTGCGATTGTGGGATCTTGGTATCTCGGGGTCGCTGGCTGGGAATGGGCTGGGGATTGGTTAGTGGGTGGTGAGCAATTACGCTGTACATTGCCTGTTTATATATTCTTTTTGTTTTCCCCCCATCATCGTTATTGTTCTCGTTTTATTGCCATTATTAAACTGTTCTTATCTCAGCCTGCGAGTCTCCCTTCTCCCCTCTAATCCCCTCCCCCATTCCCAGGTGGGGAGGAGGAAGGGAGGGTGATTAGCTGCAGTGGTTGGTTGCCTATCAGGCCCAAACCACAACAAACAGAAATGCCATTTCAATTGATCCGAACTTTTTTTTGAAAATGCAGAACAAATTAACTGCACTGTTTCACCTGATAAAATCCTTTCCTTTCTTTGCCTTCTCCTCCTCTATTTCTTTTATTGATAGTTTAAAAAAAACCCTACAACATGCATACAATGTCCAAATAAGGATGCCCTTTGTAAATCACCTTCTCTTTCCCCCAAAAGTCCGTTATTTAGCATATATGCAGCTCTTAAGCAATGAACATTCAAGCACTCCTAGCCTGGGAAGCCTTGACCACAACAGCACAAGCATTCTCTTTCTGGGCAAAAGCATACTTATATATTTATAAAAAAGAAAAAGGAGATGCTGATGACTGCCCGTACACTGATTTCCTGTGTTTTTTAACAGTGATACCTAATTTTATACTTAATTAAAGTTGCTTTGCTTTATTAAAAGCATTAAATTATTTTGGGGGCAAAAAATTTTGTTCATCAGATAGGTAGCTTCTTTCCAGCAAACAGAAATTTTTTTCAGTTTGAACTACTTTTCACACTATTTTTCACTTCAGACGGAACCAGAAATCAATTATTTACTAGGTTCTAATCTCAGGTGATTAAAAATGACTTTGTGCTCTCAAAATTCCTCTCTCTTACCCTTCTTTCTTGAAAGGAAAATATCTTTTGCAATCAAGATTTAATTGTAACAGATGGAAGGCACTTGTTAGTAGAGCTTTTTTCCACCTTTTTTTTTTTTTTTTTTTGAAGTGAAATACTGTGGGTAGTGGAGTATAGATTATACTATTAAATACATATATATGTATTTGCATGTACATATATATGCATACATTCACCACTATATCCCTATTTATAGACTGGAAATTTCCAACTAATGAAAAGGAAAAATATGGGCAGCTTTTGCAGGTGGAAAGTGAATGCACTTACAGAGGCTCTAAGGAAATTATTGTTGTGCTAATACAGTGCTATGACTTGAAAAAACTGAGTGGATGTGATGACTCTATAAATATACACACTGTTCTTACAAAATTCAGGACACTGTATATCACGGCATTCTTATTCTGCCTCATTTAATACTCACAGACAGACTGTAAGAAGGTTCCAGTATCACTGGCACTGACATCTTCCCTTGAAGATTCAACTTTGTTAAGTAAAAAATCTTTTCTCCCACAATCCTCTCTTTTTTCATGCGACGTACACTGTACAGTCTAAAGCGAACTGCGTAATTCCCAATCATCTCAGACTCAACATGATTAAATTTGAATGTCTCTGTGAAGACAGGGCACGGTCCCCGCTGGATGCTGGTTTTTGCTTTCTGCTTCTTTATAGGGAGAAGAACTAGGTGTACTTGCCACGAGCTTCCACCTGTCCTGCTGTATGTGGGAATGTCTGTGACAGCTGTCACTGTCACCAAAAGCTTCTGTTCCTGTGAGTCATAGTCAAAAGTCACATCCAGTGTGCCATATTTAGCTACTGGCTCAGGATCAAAAGGTTTAGGAAGCTGTGAAGATGATCCTCGAGCTGACATATCCTGAAGAAGAAGAAAAAAAGCTATTTATTTATTGTATTCTATTATTAAATCTAGCATGGAAATATATGGCTTTCTCTAAGCAATATGAAGGGGCTATGATCTTTTTATTCATTTCATAAACAAGGTAATAAGTACTGAAACCCCAAGGAGATGGCCAACTAGCAGCCAAGAAGAAATCAGAAGACTTTACCCAGCCAGTACAACCAAAAGCCAGGAGCCAATCAGAGCTCAGATTCAATTAGGCTGTATTTATGATCTAGTCTTTTGTGCCCCACATTAAAATGTATATATATTTGTTATGAGACAGAACTACCTTGTGTTTCAGTGCGAGTATACACACTTTTTTAAGTTAACATATCACAGTGCTTTAAGAGCCAGACAGTATTTGAAAGCATGGTGAGATGCCAGCAAAAAATACAGGTGTTGTAACACATACATACACATTCAGCTCTTGTTGCAGTCCACAAGTGTTCTACGAATGTACCAAAAATTAATCATGGCTTTGTTGCTGTAAGTTTACTGGAACTGTGTAAAAAGCATCTGTTTTGAACACACCTTCTGAACCTTCTGTAAACAGCATCAGTCCTAAAGCTGTATTTTAAACTTAATTTTGTTTACTGTCACTTCAAACTTTGAACAAAATATTGATCCTCTATATTGTTGCAACAGCTAGCTTGACAGTGATACTGAAACATAAAATATTTATAAGTACAGGTCAACCTACTGTTCATATAATAAATTATTCCAAGTATGTAAACCAAATGTATTTCCCCTGTATTTTCATATTATCAAAGATACGCTTGTTCATGTAAACGAATAGATGCCATAATAAAGCCTTCTGGATTAAAAAATGTTATGTTCTTATTTTAAAGTGGTTGCTACATAGATATGGGAATTCATTCCTCTGAAAGCTTCATTCTTCAAGTTGTTGAGTGGCTATAAAAAAAGTTGGCAGTATTCTCCGTTCTTATTGAGTATGCTTACATTAATGACTGGTGTGACACAAAATGGGAAGAACTAGGATTAGATTGGCTGCAATCTGTTACAGTTTGAGGACCATATGTACACACTATGTCTTTAGCAGCAATGAACTTCATACAGACTGTGGTCCTAGTTCATCATCAGGTACATGTAGCCAGCTAGCTACTGGAGGACCTTACACCTGGGCCTTCCAGATGATGCACCAACACCCCAGGTATACAACATCAAGTTACCAAGAGGTCTACTAAAACAGAAACAGCTGTTGTTGGCACATCAGGACTGAACCCTAATATGCACCTCAAAACTCCAGGTAGAAACAAAAGACAAATTTGTACCAAAAAAAAGCCTCTTCTGCACATGACATCACTAACGTAGACTTACCCATAGATGTCAGTGCAGTAACTGGTTATTTACAGGAAACGTGTCAGAAAAGATGATTTCCTCATAGTAAAAACAAATATCATCACAGTTTATAGCAGAAAAAAAGGAAAATTAAGTGGAACAAATCTCTATATTACCATCAATACTTTAAAAAAATAATTGTAATTTTTTATCATAAAAGATGTTTTACAACATGGGTTATTCAGTTTGAAAAGCATTATCAGAATATTTTTCTTCATTTGGGTTGTTGGAAAAATTATATTTTCTGACTATTTTTTTTTTAAATGAATGAGCTGTAATATTAGTGTTCATGCAACAATGCACTGATCTTTAGATAAAAAAAACTTTAAAAAGGTTGCACTGCATGATGTTTCAGAACACTCAACTGTTTTCATTTACCTCTGGACTAAGCACAGCTGTGCTATCACTTGGTACATCCTCTTCATATCCTTTGTTATGAAAGCTTTCTATTTCATGTCCCGTGCTTCCTTCACTTGGGCACTTATATGAACATCTTGGACTGTTGCTACACTGGGAAAATTCACATTTACTGTCTCCAACTTCAGAAGGCGTACATGAAAGATGAGGAGATCCACTATCATCCTGGTATGGAGGTGGCTGCAGTTCATCTAGCGGAGGTGTTCTCCTCATCCTCTGAATGCAGTTCGCTGAGAATAAGTGAAAATTTTTTACTTACTTTCTGATTATTTACTGTTGAAACAGTTCTGTGGAAAACGGTAAGTCTAAATATCTCAACAGATTATTTTAAAATCTATAAATATATTTTTTTACTTTACATTTCAAATTAGATAACAAATACAAATGGAAAATATTTGTTAAAAATGGAAATGAATGATCTCTCAGGTGAAAGAGATTTAGATAGAAGCAAAGTATTAAGGATATAGTCACAATGGAATGTGTAAACCACCTATAAATAAATATAGGACAAATATGACATGACAAAAATTCTAGGCTTGAATTTCAGGGATGCTTACCTTGCAAAAACCTTTGGATATCATAAATCAGATGCTATGCAGGTGCAACGTGGACTAATTAAAGAAACAAAATGCACTCCCTGAAGCCATGATATCAAACTTCTGATTGCCTCTCATGCAGTTGCTCACCCACAGAGATATTAAATTAAACTCTGAAGGCAAAAAAGGTACTAATAAAGGCAGATACAAGCCTTTTCACACAAGTGAACCCTGCTCACCGGTGAATTTAACAAGTGAAGCAGTGTCTCAGATTCTTTATTACTTTTTAAGGACAGCTAAAGGGTACATTTCTGGTGTCTACAAGTTAGACACTAAATCCAGTCACTAAAGACAGTGCAAAAAGGATCGTGAACTATCTTGTGTTTTGGATGAATACTTGATGCTGACCATCTATGCTTCTCACACTAGATAGATAGATAGAAATGTGGTTATACACCTCCTCAGACAATAAACACGATGCATGGCTATGGATATAGAAAGTTAATTCCAGATAATTGCATTTCAATTTTTGATCTCATGTTTTACTACACAGCATTACACAGTTGACAAGAATTGGGAAAAGACAGCAAGGTGTGCAGTAGCTTAAATGAAAGGAATACCAAGGATAGGTAAAAACCTGTATCACATTTTGTTTACATCATCTGTGGAGGTTTAATGAAGATTTTTATGTTTTTATGTCCTTCACACATAGAATTAACTTATTTGCAAAAATTTCAAAGCAACAGTGTTTCTGGTGTCAGACATACCACTTTCACTCATAGAAAAATCTACCAAACAAAGAAGTTAATAAAAGTACTAACATTAGAATAATATAAGCTTTGATTTCAGATTCATCTATGAAAGAAACTGACCTTCTTTCACACATGACAAAGGTGGTACATTTTAGTTTCATCATCAAATTTTTTGTATACAGGATTGCCCTGCCTATGTCCTAAATTCTCACCAAGTACATCAACCTTTTAACTATTTCCAAGGTAATTACCAGTTGCTCAACATACGACATAAACAGACAGAGTACACATGAGAGTTACCCTTTATGGAACAAGGATAAAAACACAGTAATATGGCTCTCTTGGGAAATAGTCTTAGCGTGAGGTTCCCTTTTGTTCTCCTTTCCTTTGGAAGTCTGGGCTGTATCTGAATGGCATGCTAGAATGTTTCACAGCATCTGAGACTTGATGTAAGCCCCAACCACTATGGTTTTGGTGCACACTCTCCATGGGAAGCAAACCCAGACATGTTGGCTAGGAGGGAGCCAATGTGCACTGCAGAGCCCCAAAGCTGGGTACGTGAAGGACAGGGACAGGACAGCTCATTATGGTGCCCACCTACTGCCCAGATAAACCTAGGCCTCAAAGATAATCAGGGAATACAGGGCTCTTTTCTATTTCACTGGGCTCCTAATGGAACTCATCTCAGCTTTAGCCAAGGCAAATGAGTAATTACAACACTCCTACCAGGTGATACCACTATCAGGAATCCTCTCTTCTCTGATAAACCCATCAGAGCCAGCCTACCATTCAGAGCAATTCCAAATGATTGTTACAGCACTCCTGCAAAAGGTCTTCTGCTGTTATTTAACCCAGTGCCACTAACTCTTGAAACTCCAGTCCCACAGGGCTGGAAAGGAAAACAAAGCAGGCAGGGAATCTTATACTCAAAATGTAGTCATCAGTCTAGCAGATACACATAAAACCTTACCTATGAAAGAGAGTCAAGTGGAACAGTCAGAATCTTAAAATTGTCATGCAGCAATAGTGAGAAAGCTTTATTTGCAAAACATAGATATGGGAAAGCACTTTTTCTTTTTTTTTTTCTTTTTTTTTTTTAATATTAGATAACTTGTGCCCATGAAACTACATAGATATCATTTTAGAATCTAAACATATTTTAATCATAATAATAATACCCTTTGACTATACCATGAAAACAGAATTTCCTTTTCATAGCTTATGTAATTAAATATTTCAGCAAATTTAGAGCAACAACATTTCTGTGCTTTGTTACTAAAAGGCAACGAATGGCATTAAATGAGACAGTAACTACCATGTAGCTATGACTTAATTTCTTTCTTTTTACTTGTAGTCAAGACTGCGAAGACTTTTTATCTCCCAGCTTTTCCACAACTTAACGAAATAAAAGTGTGTCCGGGTAACTATCAACACCATTATTGCCTTACATGAGTAAATAAATGACTATGTGACTCATTTTTTTCACTTTGATGTACTCCATTATACGTCCCTATGGGAAAACTGCACAGGCTGTGTGACAGAAAAGGAACTTTTAATGTAGGTGGGGAAGAAGTGAAGAAAAGAAAATTCTTATTAACCAGCTGTGACTCAAAAAACTAAGAAAAAGCTAAAACACTGGGGCAGGTTTTAACTATTTATTTTTGAAAGCTTAGCTGACCAAATAGAAATAGCATGTAAATTCTTAAGACAAATATCTGGGTTTAAAAACCTAAGGACACCAAGGACACCTCTGCCTAAACAGGTATAAACTAGTTTCAAACAAAAGGTTTCTCTACATAAAAAGTTATCAAAGTTTTCAGATTAATTCTTAAAGTCTCATTTTAAATTAATTTCACTGTCCTGACAGTAAATGGTGCAATAAAATGATGATTTCATGTTACAGCTCTCTGAAAATACTGAAAATTTTATTTACATGAAGACATTCTAATGACTGATGATATCAAAGACAAATGATACCACAGTCAGAAGTGAATACAGCAACACTAAATATCTGATAGTGGGTATTTTCCTTAAAAATTACACAGAAGTAGCAAGTAACTTCATTAATCAACCCATCAAGTAAATTTTGCATATGTATCAAAGTTTAAAACAAAAAAAAACACTGCTAATGCATGCTGGCCTATCACTCATTGTATTGGAGAAAACCATTTGGAGCTAAAAGGAAAGCATGCTTGCATATTTACATGTAGAACCACTGTCTATAACATACCTTGTACCTTTCATTTAAGGTGTAAACTTAGACACAGTTACACTTGCGCATACTTCCATACTGTGACAATCCCAAAGAATACCTTCCAAAGACCACTGAATGTGGCTAATAAGATCTGCTAGAGTTACCCCTAAGAAGCAAATGGCTAGTGAAAATCTAGAATTGTTGCATCATTTCTATGCAAGCTTCCCAAGAAACTTTCTGCTTTCAAACCACACATAAATTCAATTTTGCCAATTCCCCCAATGAAATTAATAATTTTAAATTACCATAGCAGTTTGGACTAGACAGGGTAAAAAACAAGCCAACATATATCGCAAACCTGGAATAAAAAAGTAATCACAGAGAAGCCAAATCGGGTTTAGCCTGAGGCTCCTACCAGCCAGAAAATGCCAGAACAGAGGAAAGACAAATAGAAAGAAAGATCCCGCATCAAGTTTTCCACCCAAAGTACGTGAAATAACTGCATTCTCTAACATGAGTGAAACTAAGTTGTTTAGAAACAAATATTTAGTAAACTCTAAATGGAGAACACAGTGTATTGCTGTCAATAGGCAGATTTGAATAATCAATCTTTTAAGGATTAACTGCTTTAATTAAAATTTTCTTCCTTCTTTAGTGGACTGGGAAAAGACACCTATAGTGGGAATAGTAAAGTCCTTGCTCAACAGCTGAAGAAACCAAAACTGTAAGAGAAATACCTGACAAACACAAACACATGAACATTTTGCTGGTACACTCGGAAATTACAGCATGTAAACTACCATTAGCACATTGGAGTCAGAAGTAAATAAATACCTTCTTTCTAGTACTGTTTGTTAAACAATGAAGGTTAATCTTATTTCAAAAATTCCAGGTACAGGGGTCTGATTGAAAGCTAAGGGGAGATAATACCTATCTTGACATCAAACTCAAGGGACTGTCAGTAAAATCTGACAGAGGAACCTAGGCCAAAATGAGCATTATTCCTGGAACATACAATTGACAACTATGAGAAAATACACAAAATTTTCATTTTTCTGAGTGGAATCACTGTTTAAAGATACATGAGCCTACTGTAAGAAATGTTTTTTCTTCAGGTTTTCAATTCCTATTTTACCTTTCTACTTCCAGTACTCCTCATTTCTTCTCTCTGTCCTGATCCCTTGTGAAGCATGCTAGGCTGTACAACATTTCACCATGAAGCTGGTGATGTTCCTTTCCATGTTTACAATGTCTAGATTTTGCTATCTTAATTAATTTTCCCAAAGGTTGTTAGCAGCAGCACAAATCTAGCTTTCCTTAGCCCGTATTTCCTGAGTAATTCCAAGAACATCCAACTCAACACACGGGAAAAGAAACTATCCTTGTGGTTTTAATTCCCCTGTCTCATAAGCGGTAATTAACTACACGTTTGCAACTTAGAGCTTCTCATATATATTACTTCTTTAAATATTCATACTACTATGGGAGGCAGCATTATCACAAAACTTCTTCAGTAATCTGGTTTCCAGTTCCTTTAAAACAAATAATCACTATATAAATTAATAATTTTTGCAAGTCATATTTTGCAATTATCAGAATATCTTCATACTCAAACAGTACCTTTTCTTCCTCTAATATATCTCCACATACACTATGCTTCATAATTATTTATTTTAAAAATTTAACGTAAATTTAAAGTTTTCGAGCCTTCAAGGGGTTCTATGTAAATGTTAAGACAATTTAAATAA